CAGGGCACCCCATTTCCCTTCCCAGGGGCTTCAGCCCAGGGTGTGTGTGGTGTGATGGGCACTCAGTCCTCCAGCCCTGGGGACAGAAGGGCAGCTCCTGTTCCCTCCCATTCCGAGCCGCGCTCCCCACCAAGACGAATGCCCGAGCTAGCGGATGTGGCTGGAGAGAGGCCGCCAGTCGCAGGCCGGTCACCAGTGTGGAGGACGCGAGGTTTCCCTCTGGGTGGACGGCCCGCCCACGCCGAGCCGAGGCTCCATGACCTTCTGTGGCTGGCCAGCTGCTCTCGGCTCTATTTTTAGTTTGTCTCCAGTGGCTGTGAAGATCTCTGGAGCTCCTCTCCCAAGAGGCCCAGTCACAGGTGCGTTAATACTTAACTATCAGCAGAAAAACGCTGGACCACTGGCTCCGCGTCCCCAGGGGCCCCTGTGTGGGTCCTTCTCTCTACAGCTGCCCCCGCCACCCCACTGGTCACCTGCTTTGCCACTGACTCCCAAACAGTTCCAATGACCCACAAGTCACTGGCCAACGGTAATGGATTAGCGCGTGTCTGAGATGCGAGCGTGGATTTCAGCAGGAACAGGGAAGCCGTGTTCTCTTGGACGAAAGAGGAGAAAAGAGCAGGTTGGCTCCCAGCACTAGCTCCTCTGGCAGGGTCCTGGCAGAACGCCACACACTTCGAAGGAGTTATTTTCTAAAGCCACTCCCTCCGTCCCGTGATTGCTTTATGTTAGCAAGGAAGGCGAAGAGAGGTCAGGCAAGGCGCCAACTCGACTTGCCAGGACTCTCTGGACACTGCACCCACCTTGCCCTTCCAAAGGCCCAGCGCAACCCCGACAACTCTGCACTTGGCCTTTCCTCCACCTTCTCGGACCCCTGACACCATCCCAGGGTGGCTGCGGGGAAGGCTTTCCCAGAAAGCTGATCCAAACTGCCTAAGAAACGGCTGCAACCTCCGTCAGGCCAAGGGCCATTCTCCTATCAATCAAAATCAATTTATGCGCTGCCTGAGTCCGCCGTCCTAGCTCTCCATTATGCATTGTAGCTGTTGGCCCCAGGGTACGCCCTGAAATGAATTCTCCCATGTGGACGAGTCAGGCCAGCAGGGGGAGCCACTGGGAGGAGGCTGGTGAGACCGAGAGCCAGGCCCTGGGTTTGAGGTTTGCAAATGATGCCTCCTGACCCCTTAGGTCACAGCTCTGATTATGTGTGAGGCTCAGGGGTGCGGACTGAAGCCGATCGCATCCAAAAGAAATTCAATCAGATTCGGAGAAGAGACAAGCTGGGTGGACACTAGAGGCTCCCGGAAGTCCCGTCACTGTGGGTGCCAATGGATGTGACCAAGCAGCCCCACCCATGGGGCTGACACAGTCGCACTGTCCTTAGAATCCCAAACGTCCTTGGAAGCGGCATCCTCTGGGCCCCGGAAACCGCCTGGAGCTGGGGGATGGGGAAGCGGATGTCATTCCCCTCCCATTCGCCGCAGTCAGCGGAAGTCCCCCGTGATGGTGACGGAGCTCATCATTTTCCCCAGGAACAAGGCTTCCTCGTACCGGACACCTGAATGCCATTCCCGTCTCCCCTGCCACTTCCCTGACCCCGCGGCTCACCCAGTCAGGTGAGGCTCACCCAGTAGGCTTCCTCTAACAGGGCACACCTCCCCTCTGTCTGTTCCCTCCTGTCACTGCCGTAGGTCAGCCCTCAGAGCCTGATCTCTGGTTTTTACCAGAGCAGCTGCCTCGGTTTCCCTGACACCGGCCGCTCTTCCTGTAACCCTACTCAGCATGCTGCTACAAGGCTAAGTCTCAGAAAGCATAGTTTTCATCACCTTTAATTGCTCTTAGTTTGGATGCCCCCCAGAGCAGACAGCCAGAGGACTCAGGTTCGTTCATTTATCCCCGGGGGTGGGGTGGGGGGAGAATGAGCAGGGAAGCCAGATGAGCCAGCACACTGATGGATGGACTACTGTGGGGGGCTACCGGGCTGGCCTCTGCGGGGACCCTCTGAGGCAGAACGCACATCACAGTGGTCCACCTGCATCTCCATGGCTGAGGGTGGCTCCTGATGGGGACGTACTCCCAACCCCAGAGCTCCCGGACCGGCCCGTGGCAATCAGGAGGACCCCATCTCGAGGGAGGCAGACTCGGACGCGGGCTGTGGCGTGGTGTGGGGCTGTTGGGCAAGGCTGCAGTGAACTTGGTCCGGGTGGGTCACCGCCACCCCGTCTGCAAGGTTTCTCAGCACCTGCGGGAGGAGGTCCTCGCTCCCTGGTCCTGACTTCCAGGCCGGGCCGCAGGGCACCCGGGTCAGCTGGGAAGTCAGGGAACAATGGGTTGGTTTTCAGTGCTAAGTTTATCCCAAGTAGTGCACAAGACATTCTTACAGTAAAAAGGCTACTTGTTGGCCCTGGCTGGTGTGGCTCAGTGGATCAAGTGTGGGCTGTGAACCAAAGGGTCGCTGGTTCAATTCCCAGTCAGGGCACATGCCTGAGTTGTGGGCCAGGCCCCCAGTGGGGGCCATGTGAGAGGCAACCACAAACTGATGTTTCTCTTCCTTTCTTTCTCCCTTTATCTAAAATAAATAAGTAAATAAATAAATAAATAAAATCTTCTTTAAAAAGTTATTTAAATTAAAAAAAAATAGTTATTTGTTGTGTATCTAAAATTCTACTTTAACCCGAGTACATTTAGCATTTTTCTTTGCTGAACCTGGCAACCCCACTTCAAGGCCCTCCTTGGCTGGCCTCAACCCCTTTCTGCTTACTCAGATTCTGAAACCCTTTCCTCCCCAAGGAGGGGATCCCTCTGGACCTGGAAGCAGCCAGCCAAGCCCCTGAGGCCATGGGGGTGCTGGAGCCCCCCTGTCAGAAGCAGCCCCTGGCTTCTCCCACGGTCTGTGTCCTGCCCACCACGTCTGGGTCTAATGTCTCGCCGTCCCCTCTTCCTTCCCTCCCCTCTGAAAGCAGGAACAGCCTATACCTGTCCTCTCGTGCCCTTGGGTGGCCTGCCAGCGTCTGTCTTATTTTCCCAGTGAGATCGGGACTCTCACCTGGCCCCCGGGGCCTTGTGAGGGTGGAGGCAGCGCCCCGTTCACCCCCAGAGCCCTGGGCACTCGCAGCGAGAGAACTGAGGAGGCAGCCCTGCCGGCCAGGGCCGGATGGATCGTGCCCAAAAGGTCCACAGCAGCCAAAGTCGTTGCCGGCAGCAGGTGGTCAGAGTGTCTGAACTACACGCTGGCTTTTCCACGTTCGCGGCCAGGCCTCTCAGCCCTCTCCCAGGCCTGGATTTCGCCGCGTGTCCCGTACCACCAGCACCCCACACGCTCCCTCCATGCCGCACTCAGCCTCGCCGCAACGTGGTCTGGGCAACTCGGTCTGGACGGTGCCAGCTTCTCCCCTGTCTCTCTCTTTCACCAGGTGCTCCGATGCAGATGTGACAGCCACACACTCACATAACCCTTGAAACCTGTGAGCGCTTCCCCAAGCATTATTTTATCGAAACATCCCTGGGAAGTAGGCAAAGAATTATTACCTCCCGTGACAAATGGGAGATGCTGAGTGGGTGGGACGGCTGACTTCCGAGACCACTGCTTTGGGGAGTTTTTGGGAGACATTTACAAATGGCTCACATCAGCCGTGTAAACAGGGATATTTCCATTTCAAATAGAATGCTTATTCTAAAGAAGACTTCTTTATGCCTATTTTGGGGTCACCACACTAGTGGCCACACAACAGCCTGGGTCCAGTCACCTGCTCCCAGCGTTTCCCCCTGACCAGGGGGACTGGTCACTGCACCCCAACTTCAAAGACGCGAGAGGGGGAGCTGTGTTTCACAAAACCCAGAGAAGAGTGCCTACCGGGTCCGCGGGGGCAAGGGGGTGGCCAGCCGCCCTGCCCCAGCCCCGCCATGTCCCCGTCAGGAAGGATGATCAGTGATCGATTGTCGTTAATGAGGTAATCAGGTATGGAAGCAGCTCAGTGCGCATTCCCCGCCCCTGCGCCCAAGGAGCCCTCTGCTGTGTGTGTGTGTGTGTGTGTGTGTGTGTGTGTGTGTGTGCGCGCGCGCGCAAACATTTACTTGGTTGGTGGAGGACAGGGGTGTGACCCGGTTGGGGTTTTTCTGTGGGTGAAGTGAAGGGCTGAGCCCTGTCCAGTCACTGGATCCCCCACGGGAAGGCTACGGGGCGCTGCGACAAGTGGCCGCGGGCCGCCTGGGCAGGCGAGCCCCGGGGGGCGGGGCGGGGGGCGGGCAGCGGGGCGTCCACCCCACCCGCCTTCCCTCCACCTTGATAAAGTCACGCCGCAGACCGATCGATGTACCCAAAGTCCGGGCTGCGCTGCCCGCGTGGCCGGGGCTGAAGTTCCCCCGAAACCCTGCCCGTGTTAGGGATCCCCGAGCCCCCACAGGTTCGAAAGGGCGCTGCGTGCGCGGGGGAAGGGCTGGCAAAGGCACCCGCTGCAGAGAAGCCCCTGCGCCAGGTCCAGAGACCGCCTGCGGGGGATCGGGGAGGAAAGAGGTCCATTCCAGGGCGCAGCTACCCAGCCACCCCCCCCCCGCTGTCCCCACCCACTACCCCTCCCCACCGTCCCCCGCGGCCGCGCGCGGCTCCACCTCCCCGGAGCGCCGTCCACACCGTCCTTTTCCAACAAAACAACACTACGCACCGCCCCCGGCACCCGCACCGGGCGGGACTACGCCCAGCCCGCCACCAGCGGGCCGGGCCCCGGAGTGCGCCGCGTGTCCTTCACCCCTTCCCCCCACCTCCACCCCGCTCTCGCCGCAGACAGCCGCCGAGCCCCGGCTGCACGCGGGTGGGGAGAGAGACGGAGCCCGGGCTCCGCGGCCCAGCTCGGCCCTGCGTCTCCACCCTTCCCGCGAGCGGCCCGAAGTGACAGGAGGGGCACGCACGGCGCGAGCGGGGCGGCCCGCGTTAACCGCTTCGGCGCTGGGGCGGCCGCCACGCGAGGGCGGGGACCCGGGGACCGTGGTGCGGGGGTACTCACCGGAATGTGCACTCGCAGCGACCGCTTCTTCTGGCTGGGGATTTTCTTGCCGGGGCTGGAAATGTCCTTCTTCTTCTTGGTGTCCATGGCCGCGCTTCCCATAACTTTAACCAGAAGTTGATTCCGGCTGACTCGTTCCTGGAATACGGTCCTCCTTCCTAGCCCGGCCCCTGTCCTCCGCCTGGGGCTGCGAGCTCGTCACTACTGCCCTTCCGCGAAGACACCGCGTGGGGACTTGAGCGGGGAGGGAGGGTGGAGCAGGTACCTTGGGCCACCGCCCACCGCCCCACGGGAGGGATGGCGGTCGGCGTGAGCGCCGAGCTCGTTTCCTCTTCCTCCTACGGGCTCATCGGCCGCCAGATCAAAGCCACAGGCTGTCCTGGTTCTGGTCTCTCTCCTGGTTACGCGTGGCAGACGTCTCCAGCTGGGTGGCAAAGTTTTCTTCCTTTTGCAAAGCGAAGCAACATTTTTCACCCACTCGGCTCCTCCCACAGATCCCCAGAGGTAACGTGAAAGGCAGGTGCAACGAGACGCGGGGATCTGGCAAACAAGCCTCCTCGGCCCGAGCCCAAGTGGAGACTCCGGAGAGAGTGGGACAGTTTGTCTGTGAATGTGACCCTCGGCCGCAGAATAAAGCAGCCGAGAGCCTGGAGCCCGGGCTGCCCTCCCAGCGCGAGGGAGGGAGGAGGGGAAGGAGGAGGCGCAAACGCGGGCTCGGCGCGTGGGGCTCGGGCTCGGCTGCGAGCGCAAGTTGCGGCGCGGCTCGCGCGGCCCCGCGGGCAGAGGGGCCGGGCGCTGTCTGTCCCACAACCGCGCCGGGGTCCCGGGGTCGGCGAGGGGCCCGCGCGGACGCAGCGGGGAGCGCGGGACGGTGGGAGGCGGCGTGCACCCAACAGGAAGTGGGCGCCGCGCGGCTCTGCGTTGTCCCCGCGCCCCGTGGCGTGACCGGCGGGCGGGGGCTCCCTCCCCCGCGGCCACCGTGGTGCGGGGCTCGCCCGCAGCTGCTTTCTGACCCGCGTCGTGGGGTCCCCGGCCTCTCCGTTTGGGCCCGAGCCCCTGAAACACGCCCATGCGGCCCGGCCCGTCCTCCGCCGACCCGGCCGCGGCAGGAGCGCTGGCGTGCGGTGGGGCGCGCGTGAATCCGCACAGGCTGCGCGGGGCACGGCGGCCGGCAGGCGGAACGCACGCGCGGGGCACGGCGGGGGTCGCCGGGACTGCGGCTTTGCACGCCGGGATCCACCCCGCCCGCCCCGCCCTCCGGATCAGGTTCGCCCGGAGTTGCGCAGTGGATCCGCGGTAAGAGTCCGGGTGCCCCACCGCAACACGGCGCCCCGAGGACCGCGGAGTCTACTCAGCCTGCGGCAGCAAATGGGTGAGGGAGGCCTCCACGTGCCGCCGCGATCTCAGAGCGCCGCCGCCTCGCCATTCTGCCAACCTGGCCGCGGGCCCGTGGGGGTTCTGGGCGGCGGTGTGGCTCCCCCAGGTCGCGCCGACCTTCGCCCTGGCTGGAGGTAGGGTGACTGCTGGATAGGGTGCTGAGGACGGTGGCCCCTGAAGTCCCTCGAGCGCCCTGAGTGCTGACGTCAGCCCTGCTGCACCCCGTAATCAGTAATGCGGAGAGGCCACCCAGCGAAAACGCGACACAGGTCGCTTTAGGAAGGAGACCAGAGGGACGAGTGAGAAGACGGTTCGAAGAGTGTTCTCAGAGGAGGAGGGTTCGCCTGCTTCGGGGACACCCCTAAGGCATCTTTCCCCTTCCCTTTCCAACCCGTGTCCCGGCGGCGGCTTGCGTGAGATCCCCAGCAGTCTGGGTGCGCCCAGGTCCGCAGGAGCGGGGTTCGGGTGGGTTTGTCCAACATCTCCTCCGCCCTGCTCTGCGGACCAGAACGCAGCCAGACTGGGCTGAGCGCGGGGTCCCGGAGCGGCGCCCGTGGACAGGTGGCCTGCTCTGCAGGGGGTGCGTCTGGGTTCAAAAACCAGGTGGCGAGCCCGGCCCCCAGAGCTGGGGAATTTCTTGCTTTGGCCTTTTTCTGACTGGCTGCGTGAGGGAGACAGAGTCCGCAGGATTCCACAGACGCGGGAAACCCTGGTTAGGAGTGGAGAGGGGCTGGCCGCTGGCCCGCCGTGGGCCCACCCTTCATCTCTCCGGATTAGTCCCCGGCCTTCACTCAAGTTTCCTCTCTGTAGCTCAGGAGTTCAAGCCCGGCCACAGCGATAATTCACCGAGGTGTGCAAATCACTCCACCTGATGAGAATTGGGTTTGGAAGGAAAGAGGGAGAGAGCGCCCCGGTGCAGGCTGACTGGGAATTCAGGAAGAGCCAATAGCGAGGGTCCCGGGGTGGGGGGCGGGGCGATGGAGAGGAAGCCACTGCCTTATTTCCCATACTCAAGGCTTTTCCTGGGCCTGTCGGTCGTTGTCGATGGGCTGTGCCTGGCAAAATTGTTACAATATGTACTTTTGTCAGCTGACGTGTGTAAATATGCCCAATCACTCAATCAAATTAATTTGTCCTCTGACTTTGTCAGGGTACAGATTTTAGTGCCTGGGAATCCCAAATCAAAACATTTTACCTAATTGCCAGCATTTGAAGAGCCTTTTTTTTTTTTTTTGCAGAGGGTAGACGTGTTCCACATGTTAATATTTCTGAAATATGGGTGTGTTTCATACAGAGGGTTCCAGAAGAAGCTTACCAGGCAGTTTTTTCTTTCTGGAAGAGATTAATATATTTATCACATATCTACTGTGCTTACGAGGGAGGGGTGCAGTGATTGTCTATCTTTGGGGTTCCCTCTGGACCCCAGCTTTGCCTCTACCTTGCAGCCTACACAGTTTTCTTAGCCAGTAGCTGGATGTAGAATGCCCCAACCTGCAATTTCCCAAGAATAACGCCAGAAAATGGACGCCGAACAAAACAACCACATTTTCCGTAAAGACGGCCCGGCTGGTGTTGCCTTTTTCCCAGGCTCCACAGCTGCTTGTCTCACCATTATTGCCGATCCTGTTTTTATGGGAAAAATCTCATTTGGGGGGGTTATAAAGTAGCGTTTATATGTAGGTTTTATTCCAAGAATGAAGCAGAGGCTGTTAGTGGTCACTAAATAGCAAAGGGATCCCCTCCTCTCTCCAGCGCCCTGGCAGCTAGGACAGGGACAGGCCATTCATTCCGGCCGAGGAGGTGGGAGTAGACTGCGTGCGTGGCTACTTCTGGGCTGCGCAGGACGGAATTGGCCTGTCTCCACTGTTTCCCTTCCCACCACTGCCATGAACTTGGAGGTCACGGGTGCCCAATGGCCTAGGGCGTGGGTTAGGTCCAGGGGTGTCCAACTCATTGTCACCGGAGGCCACCTCAGGCCCACGGTCGCCTTCAAAGGAGTGAATGTCACTTTAGGACTGTATCCACGTAACTGCTCCTTAACAGTTAAGTGAGAGCTGGGCACTGCTGCCGGGGAGAAACGAGGTGGAGAGCCGGATGCAGCCCGTGGGCCTTCGGTTTGCCACCTGTGGGTTAAGCCACCAAGGTTCTGATATTTATTTATTGCAGCATGACCTTGTCTAAAGGACGTATTGCACTGACTTTGGATTTATCTCGCTGAGTCTTAGAGCACTGCCTTCGATTTTACACCCCGGGGCAAACGCCTCACTGGCCGCCCCCTGCTGTGGCTGTACCACGCGAGGGAAGGGTGAGAGATAGCAGTTGGCCAGGACTGGGGGCTGCCAGTCTGCCATGGGTCCAGGGGCTGGACACTTTGTTTCCTGGTCTGTAAGAGGGACGAGGCGGCCTACGGGAGATTTCCATGGTCCGTTTAATGGGGCAGGGTTGGGGGGTGTTTTGCCCTGATTATGTTTTCCTCGTATTTGTTCGTTTGGTTGCTTGAGTAATCCCTTCTATGTAAAGCTTTACAAAAATTCAGGGACCGAAGATCAAAAACACGCAAGTAAAGAGAAGACCCCTGCTTTGCTTCAGCCGAGGTGAGTTAGGGCGGCGCTTCTCAGGGACAGGTGTGTCCACTTGGGGTGTTGTTTGCCCAGGCTGGTTGTGGTGAGATGCCAGATGTCACACAAGTTCATATGCACCATCCTGCTGAATTTCCGTGAACACCCCCTAAGAGGACTACCATTTTCCAGAGCAGGAAAACTGAGGCCCGGCTGTTGGAGAGTTCATTGCAATCTGTTTATTGTATTTTTTGGACCATAAGACACACCTAGGTTTTAGAGGAGGAAAACAGGGAAAACATTTTTTGAAGCAAAAAAAATGTGGTAAAATATTTAATAACATAAATAACACAATATTTCACCAATGTAAATGTAAACAGAACTCAACAGCAGCATTAACGACCATTATTCCTCCCATGTCGGGGGCAGGGGAGTGCGTCTTATCAACCAAGAAATGTGGTAACTTCTGTCTGCAGACCTTGATTCACTGCACCCCCTGGAGAGATATTTTAAAGTGAGCTCCCCCTGACCCCCTGTTGTAAGAGATTTGCCCACGGTTAATAATACTGTTTAGGAAGCTCCTTCAGGGTGACCATGGACAGACTATTCTGCATCCCAGCTGCCTAGGTCTCTGCCTGGGACACAGAGCTGGCGGACAGCCGTGGTCCAGGCAGCCGGGAGAAACCAGCGCCTCCAATCTGTGCAGAAAGCAGCTCCTGCAAGAGTGAAACAACAGAGTCTGGACTGAGGACTCTCAACGCTTGGATAACCCATTAGACCCGGGGCAATGGGAGTGTCATCTAATCGAGAGAACCAGGGCTAAGAGTCACATTCCTGTTTTTATTTTCCACCAGGCTGGGCACAGATTGCATAACCTCACGCAGCTCTTGCTGCACCCGGAGTCAGTAATATCGCTCCAGGAGACTTGGAGGCCGGCGCTCAGGACCAGTGGGGAGGGCTGCTTGGGACAGCCCAGCTCCTGGTGATGCGTTCCGGGGTCCCTTTGGATTTCCCGGGGTGTGAGAGGGGACATGCTGGCCACCTCCTGCCCCCGCCTTTCTGATTGTGCTTCACCCACCACACCTGTTAGCCATGTGGTCCCCCTGAGGGTGCGATCCAAGAAGTGCTTTGGATTAAGGAAGAGGGGACTCTGTGGCCACAAGCCCCTGAGGGACAAACCCGCTGTTGACATCTTTAAAGGACACCCTGGTGTCTCGAGCAGCTCTGTGCTCAACACACACTGGGCAGTTCCACAGGACAGATTCAGCAAGCAGGACAGGCGGGACCGCACAGTGGGAAGGCGTCTGTTTACCACGTCAGGGAGGAGGCAGCCCCAGCACATGCTGGACTAAGGGGAGTTAGTAGTCAGGGAAACAGCGCTGGTTGGGAGTGGTCTTTTTTTTTTTTTTTTTTACTTAACATGGCTGTTTTTATTTTTAATTGAAATAATGCATTGTGACGGTGGAGAACATCTATGTCAATCTGATGCTAAGATAAAGAACATGATAAATGAACTTGTGTTTTCTATCTCCGTTAACCAGACTCTTTTTTTTTTTTTTTGGTGTATTATGCTTTATTTCTTTTTTTTTTTTCATTTTTTTTATTGATTATGCTGTTACAGTTGTTCTATTCCCCCTTTATTCCCCTCCACCCTACCCCCCCATCCCC